CCCCAAAACCCCAAAACCCCAAAACCCCAAAACCCCATTTAAGAATTTGGTGTTGAATTTGATAATTAATTACTGTTTTATTTGTAGAAGTTAGAGTCTTGTAAAATGAGTGAAAATTCAAATTTTTCAAGGAATCGAAAAGAGAGAGGATATTATTCGACTAATAAACGCTCTATTAGCTCTAAAGCAACGGATCTTATACAATCTAATGTTCGAAATATTAAAAACAAAACAAAAACAAGAGGAAATGAAAGAAGAAAATCAAATGCACTTCCTAACCAAAAATATGCCAAAAATTGCAGATCTATTGGCAATAAACCTGAATCTCCTCATGTAAAAATGTCTAAAAGAAAGACATATCTCCAAAGTAAAACCTCCCTTCATGAAAAAAAAGGAATGTACGATCAAGCTATCCGCCCCAGAGACATCAATCATATTAAATACCTTTACTCGGCGGTTACCAAACACAAAAATATAACTGAAAGGTACTCTTAACTACTATATATAGATCCTCCTCGAAGAACAACTTAAGGAAGCAACAGTGTTCCTTACAACAAGTTAATATTCCTTCATACTCTAAAAATAAAATAAAAAGAAAAACTAAACCGAAACAGAAAGATTCTCAAACAATCCAAACAAAAGTTTGCCGTAGATTATATGAAGAACATAAAGAAAGACAGATAAGGAAAGAACAAAGGATGAAAGAAAAAGAGAGGGAGGAGAGAGAAATATGAAAGATTACTAAATATAGAAGAAAGAATAGAAAACGGAAAGAAGGACAGATTAAGGAAGAAGAGGCTAAATTTAATGATGAAATGGAGAAAATAGAAAAAGAAGAACAGAAACTAAGAGAAGAAAAAGAGAGGATGCAAAAAGAGCATCAAGAAAGAGTAGAGATTTTAAAACATAATTCTCTAAGCTTTGAACAAGAATCTAGCAATAAAGAAACCAGCAAAAGAAAGCCCAGTTTCGTGAAAAAACTAGAGAACCTTAAGAACATTGAGAAAAAGACACTAAGTTCATTAAAACAAAAGACAACACAACAAATAGAAAACAAAAATCCCCTTCCAAACCCATCCACAGAACCACAAATCCTACCTCCCTCATCCAAAGCCCAACCCTCAATCCCTAAAAATCTAACCTCCAGACCCCCAAGCCATCCACCCACCACTACTCTCCGTCCAACCCCCTCTTCTCGCAGATCTTTCGGCATAAAATCTCAAAGAATTTCTCCAATTAAACAGAAAGAAATTCACCGAAGATCCGTCCTAGATTCAATCCATGAAGAGTGTACGCCCAAAACCATTCATAGAAGGAAAAGTCTTAGCAGAGATAGCTCCAAGCACGAAGAAGAGAAGGTCTTGGGCAAGAAGAAACATGTGAGAAGAAAAACTGCTGGCCAAAACCCATTGGGCGATAGCAGAAGTAACGCTCTTTGAAACATGCTTTCCTCTCAAAAATCTTCTTTTGAACCCACCCGTACAACCCAAAACCTAGGTTATTCTCTCCAGAATTCTCTTTGAGAAACACCTACTTTCAAATCCAAAAGCAGTACAAGAGAAGTAAGCCATTCTAATATTTAACCTTAAAATTTCTTCATAGGGGTTAACCATTTTCATCATTTTAGTAATTTAAGACTGGGTCGTAACTATGATTTAGCGAATGATGAAGATTCTAGAAGAAGAGAAGAAGGAAAGCAAGCAGACAGGATTTATGAATAAATCTTTTTTGATGAAGGAAAAGAAGAGAAAAAGTGGGTTGATATCATACTTGAAATTTGATGAAGATATAATTTTAGAAGAACATACTAGCGAGATCAGTTATCTTGAATGAGGACTACGAGGAAAAGTCATCCCTTCTTATACTCCGAATATTATTTCTGATAAATACCACCTCAATTCAAAAGAGAATAAACAAGTGGCCTCACAATGAAAGATTAATAAAAACTCAACAAAACAGACAGATATTCGATCAAAAAATATTACCAGAAGTATTACAACAAATCAATCAACTCGAGAGGAAACTAAAGAGGATGACTTATTCTATCGCAGACAAAATACTCTTGAATCTTCAAAAGGACCACTCTCTAAAACAAGTTCTTTATCTAGAGCTTCAGAAGCATTTAAACCCCTAAATAAGAATATTCCAATCCCATGTAAAGGTATAAAAGGCTCACCAATGGACTGCTTTTATAAAGCATCTCTTCAGTGCGTTCTCTCAGCGTCTTCTTTCACTCGAAGCTTCTTGGATGCTAATTTGTCTAATTCTTCAAAGGAGATCTTTAAAGAAAGCACAGTCACAGCTAAATTCACTGATTTTGTTAACAATTACTGCAATTCTTCAAAGAATGCGGTAAATGCTGAAGACTTAAGAGGATGTTTTATTGATGATTTCCCCCAATCTGAACAACACGATGCAACTCAGTTCATACTCTCATTATTTGAAAAATTGAAGGAAGAGCAGATTGTGAATGCTCCTGTTTTTAAATCTTCTGGTCACAAATCCAGACAAGCTGCTTGGAAAAACTACCAGAAAGACCATACATCTATAATAGATAAGCTTTTTGTTGGTATGAACCTGGACTTTTATAAATGAAAAGAGTGTAGAGATGTGTCAAAAATTTATCAGGAATTTAATTACATTCCTGTCTATTTTGAAGAAGACCAAAAGAATTATAAAATCAACTTCAAAAAAATTTGCTCAACAAAAGAATCTAGTAAAGTCTTTTGCAATCAATGAAAAAGCATTACAAAATACATTATAAAGACTAAGATAACTAAGTTCCCTCAATACCTTCTTCTATCAATTCAAAGATCAAGCACAAATAATATGGATAAAAGAGATGAATTAATGAAATATGAAGAGAAAGTCAGCATTGATATTGGTAAAGGAAAGACAAAATATTATTCCCTTATTAGTGTAATCTGCCATATTAAAGGCAATAATAATAGTCATTATGAATCATATTGCAAAAGAGGAGATACTTGGAGACTTTTTGATGATTCTATTGTAAAAAAAGTGGATTATCCTCACAATAAAAAGAACGCATACATTTTGCTCTATGAATCAAAATAAAGAACTAATATTCCAATTTGCTCTTTCAACACATGATAACTCCCAAGGGGTTTTGGGGTTTTGGGGTTTTGGGGTTTTGGGG